AGGAGGAAGGGAAGATCGTAAGAAGGAGGGAAAGGCGCGAGCAGGGCTGAGCTTATTTACACAAGACTCGAGTGATGTATGGCCCGCTGCTGGACGTTGTCGGTGCCTTTCATTCGAGCGGCTTTCGCAGAGAGACAAGAGATAACCTCGCCTCTGATCAACGACTCTTTAAGACTCTCTAAAAGCCGGCGTTGCGTGATCCAAGCACCAACACCAACACCATCACCATCGCCATCACTACTACAACCCCACTGACAGCAGCACTAGCACCAGCACCAGCACCAGCAGTACCGGGTTCAACGCGATGTATGAGTAATATCTTGTTCGTTCCTCAAGTTCGTGCATGAAACTATATAAAAGCAAACCTTTTACCTTCCGACGTCCGATCTCGACGCAATTTTGAATTATCTTCACGTTCAACTTATCCCGATATTCCTGATTTTTTTATGGGACGTATAAAGTAATTTTCTTATCGAAACAAAAATATATGTATATATATATATATATATATATTTAAAAAATAAAAAAAATACTATATACAAACGGAGAAGCAACGTGTGGTTATTATTATTATTTTCTTATCGAACGATTTAGAAACTGAGACTCGCAACTATGTCATAGCTTGACCTAAAAGTGCTTTTTTATCGTGCTTCGTAAGCGTCAAATGATAATTTCATGATATATCGCATATTGTTAACTTTCTTCTATCTATTTCGTGTTTAATTATTCTATCGATCCGAGGACGTCACTTTAATTCGCTTGCATAATTATTTATACATTGTAATTGCACAAATAGATTCTTTTTCGCGATATACTTCGTATATTTTATCGGTTTTATTTTTTTTATTAAACGAATCAAAGGATCGTAGAAATAATAGTCAAACTAACAAATTAATTCATTTAATCAGTTTTGCAACGTTACACGCATAGTATGACTGCGACTTTGAAAAGAAATTGCCAAATAAAAAAGTACAAGAACTTCTGTTATAATGCACGTGCATGCACAATCGCGTGAAATATGAATCAACCTCTATACTTTGTAAAAACGACCTCACGTATCATCTTATCGCTTTTATGATATGTCCAGAAATAATAATTAACATTTTTCATTTATTTAGTTAATACTTTTTAAATGTCAAATAATTAACACATGACATGCATTTTCATATTTTCAAGTTCGTACTTACGTTGATGCAGTATAACATTTATGTAATCGTGATGTATAGTCTACCTTGAACAATTTATCTTTTTCCTATCACTTTTTTTTTTTCCTAGTTTCAACCAAACAAAATATACATAGTCTGCTACATCTACGTAATACTAATATATTTTTTGTTTCTTATAATACAACTATTTTTTAAACTAACAACCTTGTTATTCGAGAGATAACCGTATATGATATACATAATTATCTATCGAAAACTATGTGAATTAGTCTTAAGCCTTTAATTACGACTAACAAATTAACACTAACAAAATTTTCGCATATTTCTTGAATTTATATATCAAAGAAGGATATTTGTTACAAGATAAATAACGAGTCATTCTATTTCGTACAATGATTGACCCCAATCAATCCGTGCATTCTATGATGAAAATTTTCATCACGGTCCGATGCGATACGCAAAACGGGGTAACGTCCTGATCAATCGTCGAGACATAAAAATGATCGGTCGATTGATGTGTGGAGTATTATGAATGAAATGGGCTTCTTGAAAGCTTCATATCAAACTCTTCCTCTTTCTCTTTCATTCATTTCTTTTTTTTTTGTCTTTATTGATAAAAGCGTCACTCGCGGTTAAAGCGATATTTCGTTATTTCCTATTTGCCTTCCTTCCGTTATCGCAACTCGAATAACTGACATAAACTCTGTAGCATGCGGCTGTAGTATTGTTTTTGATAGATATATTTTGATAACTCCGCTGATACCTTGGTATACTGGCAACTTTCTTGCGAATGTAAAATGATGACAGGTAAAGATAGATAACATATAATATATGTCTTGTATTAGAAAATGATAACTTAAATGTAGTCAAAATCGATCGCAACAAGATCAAATGTTGTTTCTTTTACAATGATACAAGGGAAGATAAATAATGTATTACAATTTTGAAATATCAATCTAATTAATTAAAATATAATTTACGACTCTTCCACTGTAGAAAAAGGCTGCATGAAAATTCGTAAAAAATAAATTCGGAAAAACTGTCGATTAGATAACCTTTGTACACTCGACACAGTCCTTATCTATGTCTAATTTTTCTTGAAATAACCGACAATCGTTAGAAAAAAAAACGTCAAATGTAAATAGGATTCGGATATGATAAAATAAGCAAACTTAAGGTTCTTTGGTGATGAAATAAGGAAAATATCGAAATTTCATTTCCGCCTAGACGACGTTAAGTGGTCGTGATGGTGGTGGATGTTGGGAAATATGAAAGAAGTAGAAGAAGAAGATTAAAACGCTTACCCTCCTCTCTATTCGTCATTGGCGCCTAGAGATAATCGAATCAACCGATCCCCCCTCTCCTCCCACCGGACGTATTTCTCCTTTAAAACAAAAATCGCACGAACGAATCGGGAATGAATTCGCATTGAAGATTAAACGATAAATACGACGTCGTTTTAGAAGAAGATTATCCTTTTGAATATGACATAATTTCTAAACGCGGCAAACCCGCGATATCGCATAGAGAGGAAAGGGTAGGTGGGAGGGAGGGAGGGAGGGAAGGAGGGAAGTTTCAACTTGGTAAAACGCATTCGACAGCTTTGAGCCGGAAATATATACGGCATTTAAAAGCGGCATTAAGTGCCCCACGGGCACTTATACGACTAACTGCGTTCTGCTACGAGATGCTTCTACGCGTGTGTATAGATATTCATATACGTATGTATATATGTATATATGTATCTATGTATGTATGTATGTATGTATGCATACGCGCGTGCACCGTCATCGTACATATATTCCGAGGCTGCCATATACGATAAACATCCCTACAATAAAATAGCTATCCAAGTCGGCAGATAAACCGGTAATATGTTTCACGAGTAAATGGCCGGATCCTGATAAACACAAATTATGCGCTTACGCGCAATGTCTTTTCGGTCGTCCAATAAATTAAGGCCATCCCTCCCTCCCTCCCTTCCTCCTTTCTCCCCTTTCTCCCATGGTCTCCTTCTCCTACCTACCTTCTTTAGCTAACTTGTCGAGCTCTCGGTAAAGACCCGAAGTCGGGAACCTCCAGAGAAACCTCCAAGTGAAAGAAGAGAGATAGAAAAAAAGAGAAAGAGAGAGAGAGAGAGAGGCCGAGGGACTCGATGCGGAGGGTGTTAGTATAATTATAATTTATTCTTGATTAGCATTAATCCCCACTCCGCTGGTCCCGGCATTAACTTCTCCGTCGCTTTTATTGGTCCATTGGTCCGACAATAACTTACACTTATGATTATTAATGTCGACAGATTTATCGGGCAGCGGTACGAAAATCCGAAACGTATAGAATAAAACCGTTGTGTATGTATATATATGTGTATCTGTGTAAAAGACGCTAACGTAAACGTATAGGGTTCGTATAAATTCGATCGAGAACACGAATTTGAATTCACGGTTAACTTCTTCCTAACCCCTTCCCCTCTCCTCCCCCCCCCCGCGTGAAAGTCAATGAAAAAATAAGACTATATAACTATGGAAGAAATTTTACGATGATATCTAAAATATTTTGGACATTGCGTATAAAAGGAATATCGAACTATCGAAATGCGTTGAATGTTTTACTGTCGTTTAACTCGTTTCTTACTCATTTTGAAAGCATTAACACGATCGTCAATGAGCCTTGTTAAAATGCATGAATATTTATCAATCTTAACCCTTTTCATTTAGTTAGCGATCAGTCAAAATATTTTAAAATTCAACGCTTCTATAGATACAAATACAAAATTCAATTAATTTGAAATTTGTATAAATTCTTTAAACTTTTAATGTGCTATATAGTACCCATGTGTCTTCATAAATATAGTAGAATAATATTAATAATACACTATACCTGTGTCGAATAAAATAGGATTAATGTAGAGACGTTCTGTTTTTTTTTTCTTTTTATATATATATTACACGATAAAGATATTTTATTCTCGACAAACTACAACACGATTTCTTAACATTTCATCACTATAAGAGAGAAGAAACTGATGATAAATTTATATTTTAATGGATAAATATAGAAATAACTTTGAAATTTAAATCAGACAATAAACGATCGAACCTTTTTTGTTTTGTTGCATTTCGTTCTTCACGTGTGACGTAAAACTTTGGTAATGATAGGAAATCCAAGCAATCAACGTCATCACCGACCTCATGGATGCTAAAGTTTTTGATTGACTCGAGCGACATTATTGATCTGACAACGGATATTGATTACGCTACGGGAAAAAAAATATTGTATCGGTATGCGTCAAAACGTCACTGCACTCGATTAATGGCGTTATCCTTACGATTTGTATTGACGCATAGTGATACGTATCGTGGTAAATGAGTCTCTATTAAAAAAAAATTGCATAAAAATCTAACAGGCAAAGTATAATACGTTTCTTCTTACAAATTATCTTCGTTTCAGTATTTCATTCGATCTTTTTCCATCGAACACAGATGTAAATACAAATGTATATTTTAATGGTTTAAATGTTCGATGAAATGTGTGATATTTTTAAAGAAATAGGGCAATTTATTACGAATTATAAATGACGTATCTTCTCTCCTTCGTGTTTCACGAAAATATATTTCACATTTCTTTTTTAAATATCGATTCAATTTTTAATATATAAACGGCCAATGTATTACTGCGAAATTTTATCGCGTATAATTAGCGATATTTTGTTAAAAATACTTAAGTTTATTTTATAAAAATCAAGATAATATAATATTCAAGAAAATTGTTATAATAATTTTGTAAAATTTATTATGCATGTGTATGCATAAGTTAAAGAACAATATAGCTTTTTAAAATTACTGTTAATGGCTTTTAAAACTCCTTTATCGCAGTTATATATTATAGTTGCATTTTAATGTTGCACTATAATTATTCCTTGACCAATTTTATTTTCTTTCATAATTATAATCCTAAAATAACATTAAAAAGAATGACTCGTTGGGTATTATATTTTTTAACTTATATTATTTCCTCTTCCAACATGTAGAATTGTAAAAAAAATATGCGTTTTCTCAAGAATAAATATAATATAATAATAAAATGATATTTACACTGATTATAAACGAAAATAGAATTACATATGTTACTTACGAGAAGAGAGAGGGGGGCTTATTAGGATGATTGCACATGCAATTAGAATTATAATAATATACGGAAGAAAATTAGCTCGCGTTTAAAACAAATGCAATCGTTGCATCGATAGTTTTGCTAAAAAAAAAATAAAAAAAGTAAACCATTATCAAAATAGCAAAATCATATAACATATTATAATATAATAAATACGTATCAACATATAGAGAAACCTTACATACATACATAGATACATACACACATACTGAGTTAGTAACTATATCCGCAATCTTCCAGCCGCAAAGCTCCATCCCTCTCAAGGAGAAACGACATTAACCACTTTTATCCATTTAAACAAAATGTCAAAGTGCCAGATGATAATGCTCCGAAGATAAATCAAGCATGCTGAAAAGATGACGGTGATAAATGTAAACACGTCTGCCAGGCGGCCCGGGAGATAGTTACTGAGATACACGACAGGTCGTGACTGATGGCGATGTCGTGAGATGTGGTATCATAATAATTCATAAAGGACGAGGCTAGAGGCTTAATCGTTGATTAATGAAAGAACAGACTTGTCTCGATCTCTTCGCTTTCCTTTTTCGTTCGATTTCTCTTCTTCTTCTTCTTCTTCTTCTTCTTTTTCGTCATCTTCATCTTCTTCTATTTCTTATTCTTGTTTCTTCTCTTCTCTTCTCTCTTCCTACCATTGGAGTGTATTTTCTTCTTCTTCTTCCTCTTTTCATCTCCACCCACGGGTTCCTCGTCGTTATATACATACTTGTAGACACCAACAGAGCGCGACGAGTAATCCGACATGTGTTTGTTCGAGCGATAGACCGAATTAATGCCGCAACGTGCACGTTGAGCCGTTGAGTCCATAACTCACCGTCGAAATCCAGGGCCGCACATAAAGAAGTCTCTTTCTCGACTAATACGAAACACGAACTAAGTTTCCCCCTTCCCCGTTCTCGTATCATTATCAAATGTTTAAGAAAAAAAAAAAAAAACAAGCGAAGATCCGTTCGATTCAAAATGAGATGAATGAAAATTTTTCATCGTTCGATAGATCGTTTAAATCGATCTAAATCAAACTGATTTTTCATTATTCTTATCTATGGCACAAGTGTAAACACATTTATGTATAATAACATATACTATATGTCTGGATATATAAGAGAGAGAAAGAGAAAGAGAGACTCGTTATCGGTTAGATCGAATGGAATATGCAGTTAACGCTTAACCCTTAAAGGAGGAGCTCTTATAATCTACATACGCGTCAAGTATTTCGAAACGGCCTTTTAACGATATACCTCATCTCGACGTAACGTCGTTTCTTTTCAAACTGTAGACGTATAATGAAGGAAGATATATGGTAACGATCATAACGAGAGATATACTTAACGAGCATAGCTGATTTGCTTAAACGACCTGCATTATATATATATATATAAAAAAAAAAAGGCTAGAGAAAAAAATCAAATAATAATAATAATAACAATAATAATAATAACAATAATACCTAACTACACTAATTATTACCAAGCTCGAATTTGTATTGTCCATACAAATTTATAATAGAAATGAATAATTTATTGAACGATTTATCGTTAAATTCACATGACTCTTCTCGGCCGAGTAGTTTCTACATATTCATGGTTATCGAACTGACGGGAAAGATATGCGGGAGAGTCCGTCGGGCCACGCATAAGTCGCGTGCGCCGATTGTCGGCATCGGGGTGTTCAATTTGAAGTGACATTAATCTGACCGATGATATAGACGCTTTCGTTGGAACGACATCGAGTAATTTAAATGTTGGACATTTTTTTTCTTCTTCTTCTTCTTCTTCATCTTCATCTTCTTCTTTTTTTTCTTTTTCTTCTTCAGTTCGTTAAAGTGTACTGTCTTTAATAACAACGTTGTGGTTCTTTAACATCGATCATTTATTCTATTCATCCGGTATATCGATTACATCTTTTTTCCCATAAATTTTAATGGCCATTTAAATATATGTTAACATGTATAATCCGTTCAAGTATGAAAAAAAGGTATATACTTTAACTAGGGTAATACAAAAAAAAAAAAGAAAAAAAGAAGAATAATGTTACACCGTTGAACTCGTTTAGATGTTTAGCTACAATTATGCAAAGAAAAATAATATTCTAATTCCGATTGAATTATATTTCGTATCTTCAAATCTAATAGAGATTTTCAGATATACAGTTTCTCGCGACTCTCCTTGTATGCAACGACGAGTGCATTAAACACCGAGGGGATGCACTATACGTAGGAAAGTAGATAACGGTCTTACCGGCTGTTCAACGTTTGGCGTACTCACTGCCATCTAAAGATACTTTCTATCAACTCGTATAATCGAACCTTCAAAACCATTCAACAAGATTTTTCAAGTATTCGATTGAAACTGACACACTGTGTTTTTTTTTATCTTGCCCTATTTCTAAGAAACATAAAAAGTTATTAAGTTTTTACCAAGCATCGTCTGTTTTCCACGACGAATTACACACAGATGGCCAGAATTAAGTTACCAAACTGTACGTCTCGGTATTCATATAACTTCAATTTCGAAGAAATATCGGGATCACAACTTTTTAATACACAAAATGTTTCTCAACACTTACGAATACTTGACTGTCGTAGACACGAACTTTGTATCACTTTATCATTTATCAAACTAGCCGTGTGTGATACAATATTAAAGACTTATGTAAAAACAATGTAAGTATATAATTATATGCTAAAATTCAAACATTATAATCGTAAATTCTATTTATTACGAATATTATTCTCGTTATACACATAGTTATATAATTAAAAAACAATGTAAATAATCGGAATATGTTATGTTTATATTTCAGCCAAGTAATGGAACCGAATTAAAAACAATCAACTAAAAACAAAATAAAAAAACATATTAAAATTATTTTCCATTTAAAATACGTTAATAGGTAATGTAATATTTTAACCAGTATATATAAATTTAAACAATCAGTAATATAAAGAGAGTGTATTAGAGTATTAAAATAATTGTTAATTAATCGATAGAAATGTTTATTGTTGTATAAAAGCTCGGAGTATATGTTCTGTCAACCGTCTTCCTCGAAATTCACCTTGAGACTGGCACTTTCTCTTCTATGAAAATTCTTTTATTAAATTTTGTTTATGTGCCCTTCCAAACGTTGCGCATGTGTGTAACGAGAATAATATTCGTAATAGATAGAATTTCCTTATTTGGAAAGTCATGTAAACAACATTCGATAAAAGAACTTTCGTAGAGAACAAAAAAACTAGTCCAACGGTAAATTTCGACCAAAACGATGCGTGCAAACTATACATAGTGCTTTTAAATTACAATACACATTTCCTTCGATTAATTAACAATTATTTCAAGTATAATTAATACACAGTACTGTACTCTATTAATATTTTGAATTGTTTTAACGTTCCTAGTCACTGACGAATAATAAGTTTTCTTCTTTTTTTTTTTTATTCTCACGCGTTAAGAAAAAAGAAACTGTAAACGAAAAAAAAGTTAGGTCGAATAAAAATTTTCCATCATAATTATAACATTTTATAAATTCGATAAATAGATATAATAAGATAAAGGAAATATGATTTCTCAAAGAGCTTAACGAGCTTTGGTCAGTGTCGCGTGTTGTGTACAACAGCGAGAAACGTTGCCACCATAGGAGTGCACCATGCTCGCTAATGCAGAAAAGGGAAGCCGAGAAAAGTAAAAGATAGAGAGTAAGAGAAGTTAGGTAGACGAGAAAGAGAGACAAAGAGTGAAGCAGAGGGAGAGAAAGTAAAAAAGAAAGAAAAAGAAAAAGAAAAAGAAAAAAGGAAAGGAAAAAAAAAAAGGAAAGGAAAGGAGTAAATCGCAGGGCTGCGTGCCTGCCGGTAATCACGCGCCGGGGATAAAGTTATTCCGGGGTATAAATAACCGACATGTCTGGAATAAGGCATTAATTTATGTTATTTATTGCCCATTACGTAGTAAAGAAACATTCGCATGGGAAATAATGTATCATTCTCAACGCGCGTCCGCGCCAAACTCCAAGAATCTAGAATGATTCGGAATGCCAATGAACGCGCGAACGTTAGTATAGTTAGTGTATACCTAAGTACGCGTAACGCACGTCACGAAAAAGAAATAAAGTCTTTGGGCCTACCTGCCTGCCTGCTTGCTTACCTGCCTTGCTTTAACGCTTAGAACGACCGTTCCCAAGCTTATGTTTGTGGAAGTGCTACTTTCTTTCTCTTTCTCTCTCTTTCTTTTACACGTAACACGACAGTATGTCACAATCAATTCGAAAGAGTTACTATTCTGTCTATCTCAACTGCGACGAATTGAAATGTCCACTTTATCTGAGATGACACGTAAGGGAAAAGGATATAATAATGCTACGAGTGAAAACGAAAAAAAATTATCGAATTTTGACACGCAATATTCTCGGAAAATATTACTCCTTTGTTTCGCATTATTTTTACGCTTAGATATATCCTCTGTTTATGGGGAACAGTATTATATAGAATCCATTAACTCGACGTCATTTTGATAGAAGAAACTTAACGCAATTTGTTTTAAAATAAAATCGACTTTATATGGAAAGAAAAGAAAAGAAAAAAAAGAAAAAGGGAAAAATGTGAAATAAATAAAAATAAAATATGGGTGGGGAGGAGAAAGAAAAAAGATGAATTATTCGAAGCGCAGCGAACAATCACTCGTTTAGATCCGATGAAACAAGAGCATCCATCAAGTGGCAGGTAATTCTTGATATTGCGACCAGTTTTCCTCGAGAAAGGTCCTCGATGAAAAGGTTCTTCGCAGAAATTTACGCAGAGCACGTGAGTGAAACGTGCAGAGGACATAATACAATAAATTACAATATCAAGCTTGGAATAATAGGGGAAGATAGTCGGTAATTTCTCGAAATGCCCTGGCCTTCCTCCGAAAGGTAAGAAAAACACGAGCCATTAATTCTTTTCTCCTATTTCTTTATTTCTTTCTCATTTCTTCCCTTTGCTCTTAGATAGCAGTAGCACAATATGCTTGCTAAAGAATACTACGTGTGTATTATACGTGTGTACAAACTTCGACGACAACGATAAGGACTAACGATGTCTAAAAAAGGAAATAAAAGAAGAAGAAGAAGAAGAAGAAAAAAAAGAAAGACAAATACATTGAAAGATTAGAAAAAGAAATAAAGAAAGAAAACTCGAAGTAAAAGGTTTAGTAAACGTTCTAAGCATCGTAGAAACTTATCGGGAGACCCTACTACCGCATTCCGGTTTCGAAGTTGCTATTAATCGCATCACGTTTATTCGTCCTTTGACGCGGCTTGAAACACATCGACGTTGCCGTGCTGAAATACGTCGACCACTTTTCTTCTTCTTCTTCAGAGACGTTTTTCGTGGTCTTTACGAGTTACCTCGACTCGGAAGGAACGGGCTTCGAGTGTAGTATATTATAGTAGTGGTGCATGCGTTCGTTCGTTCCTTCGTTCGTTCGTTCGTCCTCGTCGAGGTAAAAGCGCGAGGTAGATATCGTCGAGAGCTAATTGCATGTCGGGAACACAATTTACAGGCGCGAACCTGTCGTCCTCTCCTGCGAGAGTTCTCCTTTCTCGACGCATCACGGTGCGGGAAAGTTTACAACAG